GAACATCTCAGGAAGTTTCCTTTGGACAGCCATCTGACTTCTGTGTACAACAACAAACGCTAAAAAAAACTTTATTTTGACCACAGAGCCGTCGAAACAGTCAGGAATTGTGAGCATGAGTCTAGATTTCATTTACTGTTGTGATGATAATGCTTAATGATTTACGAAGTCAACCACCCAAGATTTTTGCAACCTGATGTTGCTTGTGGATTACACAGTGCACCATAAGCGCACCAGTACAATTTTTTTCAAGAAACTGATGAAGCCACGATATCCTGTCATCGATGGTGCCCCATCTGCTGTACAAGCAAGAATGTTAGTAAGTGGGATATCTTTCTCTATGAAAAAATTTTCAACGACACGAAATGCTGACTTCCTTTAGTATCTGTTTCTAGCTATCTTTCAAATAACAGCTCTTAAACCAAACTTACATGTCTGACGAAACGAACATAGGAAGCAAAAATTCATTGCCTGGCAGAGTGGACTTCTCTAATTGTAAGCCAAATGTGTCTTCAATGTTTTCATCCATTTCATCTATTCTTTGAACAGAGTTATCACAGAGAGGAATAACTTTAATAATTTGTTCAGATGAATTGTCTAAAGTTGTGCGTAGAACCTCCCTTCTGGAAAAATAAGCTCTACCCCAATTGTATGAGGCTTACCAGGTCTAGTATTCAGCAATGAGAAATTGTATCATGCACGCAAACCATCACTGGAGTGTTGTGAAGTGCTAGCAAATATTTTTTCCAATGGTTTTCCGTTTCTCTAAGTTTCCTCAAAGTGAATGAAAATATGCTAAGTTATCGCCTGCTTTATCAGACGATAACTTAGCATATTTTCATTTGAAAAAACTCTTTCACACAATTGGCCCATTGGTTGTTGTTGGTTATTTGGTGCTAATGTAAATTCATATATCAGATATGCCACACTATATTGCCTACATTTCTTTTTTGTCTCCTGGGCTGCGGCCATATTTTTTTCTGGAACAAAAAAATATATGCTCCTTGTGAAAATCATGCTAATAGCAACAAACTGCAACAGAAAAAAAAAGAAAATATATAGCAATGAACTTACCAGGAAAAGTCCATGACACATTAATACAAGTATGAATGGTAAATTAAAAATCAAATATTCAAGAACTACAAATCACAGCCTTAGCACAGCAATATTTCCACATCTCTTTGGCATCCCTCCACTTTAAAATGTACATTACAAGACAAAATATATGCAGTGCGTACAAACCTGGAGCCTTGGTCCATGCAGACTGAAAATCCCATTATCACCAGTACCCACGACGTCTGCTGTCTTACCTGGTTGGTGTGTGGAGTGTGGTGCACCAAAACAAACGTTCGGACTTCCATCTCCGACTTCGGACATCACTATAAAAAAAACTATTCTTTCGCTTATAACTCACTGTTAATTTTATTCTTTGCAAAGCAGCTGTGTTAGTCAAGTGTTCGTGACTTAGATTTTGTCATAAAAATTTTGTAAAACAAACGCTCCTTTGGTTGTGATGGCACCTTGCCTCCCCCTACCGCCCCCGTTTTCTCAACGTCCCCTTGGATCTTTCCACCTCCCCACTGGGGCAGTACCATTCTCTTTGGGAATCACTGGTCTAAACATAGGTGCTCCAACATGGAAATGATCAAATACAATCTATGCTCGCCTGTCATATTCCATGCGTGATATATATGCACCACTAACAAAAGAAAAATAAAAGCTTTCATTATCATTCACTCCATCACTGTCTTGCCAGAGGCGCACTTACACTACAGTCATAAAACTGCAACATTAACACCCCTCCTTCAGAGTGCAGACACTGTACTTCCCATCTCCAGGACTCAAGTCCGACCTGCCGGTTTCCCTGAATCTTTTCATAAATAATACCTTGCTCACACTCCAACACGGCGTCAAGTCCTAAAACCCATTTGTCTCTATTCGCTCCTATCTAACATGCTCATACATGCTCCCTGGAAGTCCAAGCCTCTCTCACACAAAACCCCCTTTACTCCCCTCCCTCAAACCTTTGCTAGGCCAACCCCCTACCCCACCTTCAGTCCACTACAGATTTATACACTCTCGAAAACACACTATTTTGTTCCATCCTCTCTACTACATGTCCGAACAACCTCAAGAACTCATCCTCAGCCCTCTGGATAATAATTTTGGTAATCCCACACCTCCTCCTAATAACACAGGTATGGTAGGATTGTGGACAGTGGAGTCAGAGTGCACATGCTGTGGATTCCATCTCACATTGGTCTTCAGATGCATGATAGAACTGATAAATTGGCTAAGCTGTATGCTTTCAAAGAGGGAGTAGATTACAATCTTGGCTTGTCAGGTAGTAGTTTGAGAACAATAATACGAAAAGAACTTCAACTGAATTTTATGGACTTAAGGCTCAGGGAGATTGACACCAGTGAGTCCATCTATCATCATTCTATCATGCAGGAGGAACCACATGTCTATGGTGCATCCAACAAAATAAGCAGACTCTTGGATGTCACTACTGCCCGGCTTCGGCTGGGTTACAAGTATCTTTGGCAGGTTAAATCACCACCACCAGATGTAGACCAAACGAAATGTAAACTTTGCCAGATGGACTATTGTCACACCCTGTGTCATTGTGTACTGGAGTGCGATAAAATTAATGAATTTTCAAACAACTCACTCAGAAGTGTTCAAGAAATGGCTAAGTATTTTATCCACAGTGGTATATTACAGACCATTCTGGAGAAATACCCTGACTTTGCTAGCTGTAAATAAAGCATTATCACGTGTGCATGTGTGTGTGTGTGTGTGTGTGTGTGTGTGTGTGTGTGTGTGTGTGTGCACTCACCTAGTTGAGTTTGCAGGGGTCGAGTCCAAGCTCCTGTGTGTGTGTGTGTGTGTGTTTGTGTGTGTGTTTGTGTGTGTGGGTGTATGTGTATGAGTGTGTGTGTGTGTTGTGTGTGTGTGTGTGTGTATGAGTGTGTGTGTGTGTGAGTTTGTGTGTGTGTGTATGTGTGTGTTTATGTGTGTGTGTTTTATGTGTGTGTGTGTGAGTTTGTGTGTGTGTGTGGTGTGTTTATGTGGGGTGTGTGTTAGTGTGTGTGTGTTTGTGTGTGTGTGTGTGTGTGTGTGTGTGTGTGTGGTTGTTTTGTGTGTGTGTGTGGTGTGTGTGTGTGTGTGTGTCAACAATCAATATTTGCACCAATAACTCATTACAGTTGTGACCGGGTGTGGAAGTGTGAATTGCTCATTACTCTAAAATTTGTTCATGATTGTAGCCATGTATAAACGCAAGTAACCATTCTTACAGTATTCATTACCTTTGTAACTTGTGAGTTCATTACCTTGTACCTAGTTCAGCCATCAAAACTTTGGGGCCCAGTCCCTGGACCCATTGTGTACCTCTATAATCTGTGAATACCTTTGTAACTTGTCATGATTGTGACTAGACCTACCTGGAGTTCATTACCTTCGTAAATTGTGAGTTCATTACCTTTGTAAATTGTGAATTCATTACCACTGTAACTTGCTCAGCCATCAAAACTTTGAGGCCCAGTCCCTGGACCCATTATGTACCTCTGTAATCTTTTGACTACCGCCCACAGGATAGGTATGGGGTGCATAATAAACATATTAAACTTAACTCCTAATTTTAAAACTTAGAATTGTCTGCATTATATACACACCACACATTGCCCTCAAACACGACATCCCCACTGTCTCCAGCCTTCTCCTTGTTGCAACATTCACCACCCATGTTTCACACCCATATAAGAACATTGATATAACTATACTCTCATGCATTTCCCTCTTCGCTTCCATGGACAAAGTTCTCTGTCTCCACAGACTCCTCAGTGCGCCACTCACCTTTTTCCCCTCTTCAATTTTATGATTCATCTCATCTTTCACAGATCTACCAGCTGATACGTCTACTTCTAAATATCTGAATACGTTCACTTCCTCCATACTCTCTCCTCCAGTTTGACACCCAATCTTTCGTTACATAATATTTTTGTTACTTCATCACCTTACTCTTTTCTATATTCACTTTCAATTTTCATCTTATACATACCCTACCAAACTCATTCACCAACCTCAGCAATTTCTCTTCAGAATCTCCCAGAAGTACAGTGTCATCAGCAAAGAACATCTGTGACAACTCCCACTTTGTGTTAGATTCTTTATCTTTTAACCCCATACCTCTTGTCAATACCCGAGCATTCATTTATCTTAAACCTCATCTATAAACGTTTTGAACAACCATGGTGACATCACACATCCTTATCTAAAGCCTACTTTTACTGGGAAATAATCTCCATCTCTCCTACATACTCCAACTCTTCACTGCTTTCAATAACCTATCTCTTATTCTATACATTTGCAACATCTGCCACATTGACCCCTGTCCACCCTGTCATAAGCCTTTTCCAAACCCATAAATACCACAAAAACCTCCTTACCCTTACATAAATAATGTTCTATGTTTCACTGTAAACACTTGGTCTACACACCCCGTACATTTCCTAAAGCCTCCTTGTTCATCTGCAATCCTACTCTCCGTCTTACTCTTAATTCTTTCAATAATAACTACCAGGTATACTCAACAAATTTATTCCCCTATAATTTTTGCACTCTCTTTTGTCCCCTTTGCCCTTATACAAATGAACTATCCACGCTCTCTGCTAATCCCTGGGTACCTTTCCCTCTTCCATACTTTTATTAAAGGTGATGTAACTGTTCTCTCACATATATATGTCTCATCGGTGCCAAAAATTCATTAGTAATATGTGCTGTAGATAGAAAGCAAACAATTTTTAGCCAAAAACACAAATCTATAAAAAAATAAAGGTTATATAAAAAATTAAACTCCTGGACATTTACCGCCGAAGAGAAGAAAAACTTTGGACTGTTCCTGGAAACACTGTAATACCTAAGGAGTTGACTGGCGGGTGTAGTGAGCTATATATAAGGAGGCGCTACCTTCATCTTGACACAGTCGACCCAGAGATCCTCCACAACCATGAACGTCCTGGTCAGTTACACATTACATTATATTGCTTTATATATGTATCCTAGGTTGTAATAACTTTACAAGTTTAAAATACTGAGATAACACTTTTCACACTGACTTACAACTTAATAACCATCAAATATTGTCCGAAACATCGCACAGTTTCCTTCTCTGTATTGGGAGTTTGTGATTCTTTCACAGTCATTTATATATAATTTTCAAGTCTAAAAACGTTAAAGTAATCACTAATATAATTGTGAATTATTTTTTAATAATAAATTAACAATTCTTAGTAGTCATTACTGATTTATTACTGAATTTCTCATTTATGGTTTGAAGAGTTTAAAAAATTTTAAGAATTACTTTTACAATTGTTTAAAGTAACTAAAACAGAGCGTTGTTATATAAGAACATAAGAAAGAAGGAATACTGCAACAGGCCAACTGACCCATGCGGAGCAGGTCCATTCCCCCCTGGATTAGACCAATGACCCCCCCCCCTGTATTAGCCCAATGACTCACCCAGTCTGGTCACCGCCACTCAAGGAAGGAGCACTGTACCAGACCCAGCAGCACAAGCTAGTCAGGTCCAACTCACACCCACCCACACCCACTCATGTATTTATCTAACCTATTTTTAAAACTACACAACGTTTTAGTCTGAATAACTGTACTCGGGAGTTTGTTCCACTAATCCACAACTCTATTACCAAACCAGTGCTTTCCTATATCCTTCCTGAATCTGAATTTTTCCAACTTGAAACCATTGCTGCGAGTCCTGTCTTGGCTGGAAATTTTTAGCACTCTATTTACATCCCCTTTATTTATTCCTGTTTTCCATTTATACACCACGATCATATCCCCCCTAATTCTACGCCTTTCAAGAGAGTGCAGATTCATGGCCCTCAGTCTATCCTCATAGGGAAGATTTCTGATAAATGGGATCAACTTTGTCATCCTCCTCTGTACGTTTTCCAGAGCATTTATATCCATTCTGTAATACGGTGACCAGAACTGAGCAGCATAGTCTAAATGAGGCCTAACCAAGGATATATAGAGTTGAAGAACAACCTGAGGACTTCTATTATTTATACTTCTAGATATGAAGCCAAGAATTCTGTTAGCTTTATTGCGAACGCTAATGCACTGTTGCCTTGGTTTTAGATTACTGCTAACCAGAACTTCTAAATCCTTTTCGCAATCAGTAGTATTAAGATCTACATTATTTAGTTTACATGTGGCATGGTTATTTAACTGTTCAACATTTAGAACTTTGCATTTGTCAATATTAAACTGCATCTGCCACTTCTCCGACCATTGCATCAGTCTATTCAAATCATCCTGGAGTGCTCTAGTATCCTCATTAGAATGAATTGGACGGCCTATTTTGGTGCCATCAGCAAATTTGCTTATGTCGCTATTTATTCCCTCATCTACGTTGTTGTGAACATCAACGGGCCCAACACTGACCCCTGAGGAACACCGCTTGTGACGTGCCCACATTCTGATTTCTCCCCATTTATGCAAACTCTCTGCTGTCTATTTGTCAGCCATGCCTCTACCCAGGAAAAAATTTCTCCTACTATTCCATGTGGTATGGAACTCTATCGAAAGCCTTACTGAAGTCCATATACACAATATCATATTCATTACCATGACCTACCTCCTTAAAACACCTTAGTGAAAAAAGTTAGTAAATTCGTAAGACAGGAATGCCCCTTTGTAAAACCGTGTTGAGATTCATTAATCAATCTGTGCCTGTCAAGATGGCTACGAATTGCTTCGGCAATTATTGATTCCATAAATTTTCCCACTATGGAGGTAAGGCTTATTGGTCTATAGTTCAAAGCCAAGGACCTGTCACCTGCCTTGTAAATAGGTATTACATTTGCCATTTTCCACTTATCAGGCACTATGCCAGTTTGTAGTGATATGTTAAAAAGATTAGCCAAAGATATGCTAAGTTCCTCTTTACACTCCTTTAAAACCCTTGCAAACAGTTCATCAGGGCCTGGGGATTTGTTAGGTTTTAGTTTCTGTATTTGTCTGAGGACCATGTCACTAGTTACCGCAATCGTAAATAGTTTATCAACCTGTTCTACATAATCTATTATTTCAGGAATATCGCTAGTATTTTCCTGGGTGAAAACTGAGAGGAAGTAGGTATTGAGAATTTCACACATATCCTTATCACTGTCAGTGATCTGGCCAGAGTTACTCTTAAGTTGGCCAATCTTGCCCCTAATCTTACTTCTGTATACCTGAAAGAGCCCTTTTGGGTTAGTCTTTGAATCCCTTGCTACCTTAGCCTCATAATCCCTTTTTACTTTTCTTATTCCTTTCTTTATTTCTCTCTTTAACTGAATATATTGATTTCTAAACTGCCCATCCCCTCTTTTGATACGCCTATATATGCCTCTCTTTTGACCAATGAGATGTTTTAATCTATTGTTCATCCATTTGGGATCATTTTTGTTAGATCTAATTTCCCTACTCGGAACAGAGATTGTCTGGGCAGCTAGAACTATGCTCTGAAAAACGTCATATTGGCAACCAAGATCACCTACCTGACCCATAGTCAGGACATCCCAATTTAGCCCACCCAGGTAATTTTTCAGTCTCATGAAGTCGGCCAAGCGAAAATCTGGGACAGAGATTTGATTGCAGTTATCTGGGTAATTTCATGATATATTGAAACTAAGTGATTTGTGATCACTTTCTCCAAGCTCATCATTAACCTCAAGATTATTAATTAGTGAATCTTTGTTGGCAAGAACCAAGTCAAGCAGATTGTTTCCTCTAGTTGGTTCTGTCACAACCTGTTCTAAAAAGCAATCCTGAACCGTATCAAGAAAGTCACTAGACTCAAGATTTCCTGTCATATTGTTCCAGTCAACTTGTCTAAAGTTAAAATCTCCAATTATGACAACATTCTCATATCTACATGAATTATGAATTTCGTCCCATAACAGCTTACTCCACTCCCTATCTAGGTTTAATATTTTAATCCCAAAGAGTTTATATATAATAAGATAATCCTGACTCATGTGTATGAGTTCTATACTATGATATGTTTTTTCTTATTGCTTAGGGACTTTGAATTAAAGGAGACTTATTAAAACTGTTATTCACTTTATCACAAACACCAGATATATTTTTATCTCTAAGAATAAGTTTACAGTTAATTCTTCTTCAACCTGAGAAAGATATTTTAAGCTTCGTAGAACATCTTCACTACTTACCCGGAGTTACATCCCAAAAGTATTATTAAACTTAACTTCAGCAACTTCAATATAATACAAATAAAAACTCAATAATATACATTTTCAATTGATGAAAATGGTCTTGCTTTCAAAAAAAAAGTATGTTTTACAATTTTTTTCTCAACAAAAATATTTTTTAAACTACCAAAGATAATATCATTGACAAAGTAAAATTAATTTATATTTTCATACGATTTTTTTTGGTTTTATTGACTCTAGCTGCAACGAGAATGCCATTGGCACCGACTAATATCTACCACACGATGCATTAAAGTTTTCCTAACTGGTAGGCCTAATGATCTTTGAGCTGTTGAAAAGCTTGAAAGAAAATAACCAACCATCTGTCTTATCTAATAACTATACGCAGAAGATATATCTCCATGGAAGTATATATAAATTCTATGTAAATATTTCAGTGACCCTGGCGTACTCGAGAAGATTTAAACCCAATTAACCAACCAACCATGTTCATTTTTCATTATTTCGTAATCACCCAGATAAATTATTAATTCCTCTTTGGGATTATATACATGAAGAAAATATATTGAAGGCAGCATATTCTTATTAATCTTTTTAATCAATTTTAAAATCGATCATTATTTACTGTAGTTGCATGAGTTTTTAGTCATGAAAATTTTACAATATTAAACATGTGCGGTGGAGTCAGAAAATAATTTTAACCATTGAAAAACAATGTATATTCTTTTCAATACATTTGGCTTAAAATACCAAAACATATACACCGCTTTCATAAATAATCTTTCATACAAATACCTATTAGAATGAGCTTTTGCAATTTATTACTAGCAGAAATCTTAAGTAAGTAACCTTACTTAAACTGCACACTAACAGCACCTTTCAAGGCAGGTGAAATTGCCGACCTAGAAAATGTACAGAGAACTTTCACGGCACGCATAACGGAGATAAAACACCTCAATTATTGGGAGCGCTTGAGGTTCCTAAACCTGTATTCCCTGGAACGCAGGAGGGAGAGATACATGATTATATACACCTGGAAAATCCTAGAGGGACTAGTACCGAACTTGCACACGAAAATCACTCATTACGAAAGCAAAAGACTTGGCAGACGATGCACCATCCCCCCAATGAAAAGCAGGGGTGTCACTAGCACGTTAAGAGACCATACAATAAGTGTCAGGGGCCCGAGACTGTTCAACTGCCTCCCAGCACACATAAGGGGGATTACCAACAGACCCCTGGCAGTCTTCAAGCTGGCACTGGACAAGCACCTAAAGTCAGTTCCGGATCAGCCGGGCTGTAGCTCGTATGTTGGTTTGCGTGCAGCCAGCAGCAACAGCCTGGTTGATCAGGCTGTGATCCACCAGGAGGCCTGGTCTCAGACCGGGCCGCGGGGGCGTTGACCCCCGGAACTCTCTCCAGGTAAACTCCAGGTAAACCCATACAACATGTACAGTTATAATAATTCTCTGTACAATGATAATTCAGTTATAATGTAAACTGTGTTCATCCTTCAGGTCATTGTTGGCGTCATGGCCGCATTCTGCTTGGCGGCCACAAGCGCTGCTCCTGCCCCAGATGCCGAGCCTGGCCACTTTGGAGGCTTCAGTGGAGGTTTTGGAGGCTTCAGAGGAGGATATGGTGGCTTCAGGTACCGTGGGAAGAGGAGTGCTGAAGCTGACCCAGAGGCCGACGCTGATCCTGAAGCTGATCCCGGTCGCTTTGGTCATGGTGGATTTGGAAGTTTTGGAGGAGGCTTTGGAGGCTTCGGTGGAGGATATGGTGGATACCGAGGAAAGAGGAACGCTGAAGCTGATGCTGAGCCTGAAGCTGATCCCGGTCGCTTTGGGCATGGAGGATTTGGAAGTTTTGGAGGAGGTTTTGGAGGCTTCGGTGGAGGATATGGTGGATACCGTGGAAAGAGGAACGCTGAAGCTGATGCTGAGCCTGAAGCAGATCCCGGTCGCTTTGGCCATGGAGGATTTGGAAGTTTTGGAGGAGGCTTTGGAGGCTTCGGTGGAGGATATGGTGGATACCGAGGAAGGAGGAATGCTGAAGCTGATGCTGAGCCTGAAGCTGATCCCGGTCACTTTGGTCACGGAGGCTTTGGTGGTTTTGGAGGAAACTTTGGAGGCTTCGGGGGAGCATATGGTGGATACCGAGGAAAGAGGAACGCTGAAGCTGATCCCGGTCACTTTGGTCATGGTGGCTTTGGTGGTTTTGGAGGCTTCCGACGCCCATACCACGGTTAAAAGTCTGCTCCCCCACTCGCCGTCTTCTCTGACTATGACTATTGCTTCTTATATGTAATTTTATAATTTTAATAAATATACAGCAAATATGAAGTCTTATGTCTCGCTCTAATTTAACTATGGAAAGTTGATAAGAAAAACCTGAACAGTCCCTTCCTAAAGTCAAAATGAATGATATGGAGAAACATGTACTTAGAAATCCAGGAAAAAACCTGTGTCAGCCATCAACCTCTCATGTCAACTGTGTACAGTGGATGATGTCAGTGAAGCAAGGCTCCAGGAGCTAGAAAAACAGCTTAATGTAACAAAGTTGGGCAAACTTGGACATCAGTAACTGAGGCAACAATGGAACTTCCTAGGCAGAGAAAATCGTTTTGGCATCTCTTTTATTATCATGTAAATGTTAAAGAGCGATGAAAGACTCATTAAAAGTAGATCTAAACCAGATTCCTAACTTTTTCAGGCTACCGTCCCGTTGGCTCCCAGGTCACATACCTAGCGCCCCCCACACACATTCCAACACACCTCTTTCTTGGTATTAAGTTTACTGCAAATTTAAAACGACAACTAATCTAACACTATAAACAAGCGTATTTATTTCACAAATAAAAATTTACATTGTTGACCAATTTACGTAACGTGAAAGGGTAAATTTACATCTCATCTGTAAGTACATTGTGTTTACAATATTAATGAGATGGATGTGCTTCGTGCAGGAACATCAGCTTCTCAACATTAGGCTTGAAGACACTAAGAAGAAGCCTTAGATCCTCATGTTCAATAATTTTCAGTCTGTTTCTTTGCTTGGAAATACGGTAGGCGACTGCACTGATGCTTCGGTCTACTAATTATGTTGAGAAGCAATAAAGTACATTTTCACTTTGTTCCAAAGTGCAGGTAGCAGTTAGAAAAGTGGTTTTTGTTTTGTAACCAAAAATCTTGAAATGACTTTTTGAATTTTGGCCTCAGCTCAGTGTCAGTTCGTAGTGAAATCAAAACCTTCTCCACTTTTCTTGTTTTCTCATTGTTGATATCTAGGAATGTATTGATCATCCAGTCTCGTATTTTAAGCAAGAGAAGAACTCGAAATCTGTCAAACATGTCTTTATGCAGCTTATTCAAGTAATCACGCTACACTTGAAGGTCATCGTTTGGTACATACGCTCTTCTCTAATTCAGAGAGGATTGGAACTGGAAGAACTCACGACGTTGCTTTTGAATAGCTGTAACCTGGACAGAAAAATAGAAATTCCTATTTGGCGATGATTAAATTAACCTCATTTCCTTGTAACTGCAAATTAACTTCGTTGAAGTTTGTAAATACTATTGAGAAATAATGTCATGCTTTATGTTTCTAAGTGAACCTCATAGAACAGAACTCAAGTCCTGGAAAAATTCATTCAACAACTGTTTTAAAAAGTGAATAGGAACGTCTCAGGAAGTTTCCCTTGGACAGCCATCTGACTTCTGTGTACAACAATAAACGCTAAAAATCTTTATCATTCTCACGACAGAGCCGTCGAAATAGTCAGGAATTGAGAGCATGTGTCTAGATTTCATTTACTGTTGTGATAACAATGCTTAATGATTTGTGAAATCAACCACCCAGGATTTTTGCAGCCTGATGTTGCTTGTGGATTACACAGTGCACCCTAAACACACCAGTACAATTTTTTTCAAGAAACTGACGAAGCCACGATATCCTGTCATCGATGGTGCCCCATCTGCTGTACAAGCAAGAATGTTAGTAAGCGAGATATCTTTCTCTATGAAAAAATTCTCAACGATACGAAATGCTGACTTCCTTTAGTATCTGTTTCTAGTTGTCTTGCAAATAACAGCTCTTAAACCAAACTTACATGTCTGACGAAACGAACATAGGAAGCAATAATCATTGCCTGGCAGAGTGGACTTATCTAATTGTAAGCCAAATTTTGTTGACTTAAGCATGTTGCATATTGCACAATGTGTCTTCAATGTTTTCAACCATTTCATCCATTCTTTGAACAGAGTTATCACAGAGAGGAATAACTTTAATAATTTGTTCAGACGAATTGTCTAAAGTTGTGCGTAGAACCTCCCTTCTGGAAAAATAAGCTCTACCCCAATTGTATGAGGCTTACCAGGTCTAGTATTCAGCAATGAGATATTGTATCATGCACGCAAACCATCATTGAAGTGTTGTGAAATGCTAGCATGCATTTTTCCAATGGTTTTCCGTTTCTGTAAGTTTCCTCAAAGTGAATGAAAATATGCTAAGTTATCGTTTGCTTTATCAGACTATATTTTCGTCAAGTATTCAAGAAGCCTGGAAAATTTCATGTCTTCATTTGAAAAAACTCTTTCACACAATTGGCCCATTGGTTGTTGTTGGTTATTTGGTGCTAATGTAAATTCATATATCAGATATGCCACACTATATTCTTTTTTGTCTGCTGGGCTGCGGCCATATTTTTTTTTTTCTGGAACAAAAAATATATGTTCCTTATGAAAATCATGCCAATAGCAACAAATTGCAACAGAAAAAAAAGAAAATATATAGCAATGAACTTACCAGGAAAAGTCCATGACACATTAATACAAGTATGAATGGTAAATTAAAAATCAAATATTTAAGAACTACAAATCACAGCCTTAGCACAGCAATATTTCCACACCCTTTGGCTTCCCTCCACTTTAAAATATGCATTACAAGACAAAATATATGCAGTGTTTACAAACCTGGAACCTTGGTCCATGCAGACTGAAAATCCGATTATCACCAGTACCCACGACGTCTGCTGTCTTACCTGGCTGGTGTGTGGAGTGTGGTTCACCAAAACAAACGTTCGGACTTCCAACTCCGACTTCGGACATCACTATAAAAAAAACTATTCTTTCGCGTATAACTCATTGTTAATTTTATTCTTTGCAAAGCAGCTGTGTTAGTCAAGTGCTCGTGACTTAGATTTTGTCATATAGATTTTATAAAACAAACGCTCCTTTGGTTGTGATGGCACCTTGCCTCCCCCTACCGCCCCCTTTTTTTCTCAACGTCCCCTTGGATTTTTCCACCTCCCCACTGGGGCAGTACCATCCTCTTTGGGAATCACTGGTCTAAACATATGTGCTCCACCATGGAAATGATCAAATACAATCAATGCTCGCCTTTTATATTCCATGCGTGATATATATATGCACCACCAACAAAAGAAAAAGAAAAACTTTCATCATCATTCACTCCATCACTGTCTTGCAAGAGGCACACTTACACTACAGTCATAAAACTGCAGCACTAACACCCCTCCTTCAGAGTGCAGACACTGTACTTCCCATCTTCAGGACTCAAGTCCAGCTTGCTGGTTTCCCTGAATCCCTTCATAAATAATACCTTGCTCACACTCCAACACCACATGAAGTTCTAAAAACCATTTGTCTCCATTTGCTTCTATTTAACATGCTCATGCATGTTCCCTGGAAGTCCAAGCCTCTCTCACTCAAAACCCCCTTTACTCCCCTCCCTCAAACCTTTGCTAGGCCGACCCCAACCCCACCTTATATCCACTACAGATTAATACACTCTCAAAAACACACTATTTTGTTCCATCCTCTCTACTACATGTCCGAACAACCTTAAGAACTCATCCTCAGCCCTCTGGATAATAGTTTTGGTAATCCCACACCTCCTCCTAATTTTAAAACTAAGAATTGTCTGCATTATATACAAACCACACATAGCCCTCAAACACAACATCCCCACTGCCTCCAGCCTTCTCCTTGTTGCAACATTCACCACCCATGTGTCACACCCGTATAAGAGCGTTGGTATAACTATACTCTCATGCATTCCCCTCTTCGCTTCCATGGACAAAGTTCTCTGTCTCCACAGACTCCTCAGTGCGCCACTCACCTTTTTCTCTTCAGTTCTATGATTCACCTCATCTTTCATAGACCCATCAGCTGATACGTCTACTCCTATATATCTGAATACTTTCACCTCCTCCATACTCTCTCCCTCCAGTTTGGCACCCAATCTTTCGTTACCTAATAATTTTGTTACCTCATCACCTTACTCTTTTCTATATTCACTTTTAATTTTCTTCTTATACATACCCTACCAAGCTCATTCACCAACCTCAGCAATTTCTCTTCAGAATCTCCCAGAAGTACAGTGTCATCAGCAAAGAGCAACTGTGACAACTCCTACTTTGTGTTAGATTCTTTATCTTTTAACCTCATACCTCTTGTCAATACCTGAGAATTCATTTCTCTTAAACCCCATCTATAAACATTTTGAACAACCATGGTGACAACACACATCCTTATCTAAAGCCTACTTTTACTGGGAAATAATCTCCATCTCACCTTCATACTCCAACTCTTCACTTCTTTCAATAACCTGTCTCTTATTCTATACATCTGCAACATCTGCCACATTGCCCCCTGTCCACCCTGTCATAAGCCTCTTCCAAATCCATAAATACCACAAAAACCTCTGTACCCTTACATAAATAATGTTCTATATGTTTTACTGTAAACACTTGGTCTACACACCCCATACCTTTCCTAAAGCCTCCTTGTTCATCTGTTATCCTACTCTGTCTTACTCTTATTTATTTCAATAATAACTACCAGGTATACTCAACAGACTTATTCCCCTATAATTTTTGCACTCTCTTTAGTCCCCTTTGCCCTTATACAAATGAACTATCCACGCTCTCTGTCAATCCCTGGGTACCTGCCCCTCTTCCTTATTTTATTAAAGGTGATGTAACTGTTCTCTCTCATATATTTCTCATCTGTGCCAAAAATTCATTAGTAATATGTGCTGTAGATAGAAAGCAAACAATTTTTAGCCAAAAACACCAATCTATAAAAAAATAAAGGTTATATAAAAAATTAAACTCCTGGGCATTTACCTCCGAAGAGAAGAAAAACTTTGGACTGTTCCTGGAAACACTGTAATACCTAAGGAGTTGACTGGCGGGTGTAGTGAGCTATATATAAGGAGGCGCTACCTTCATCTTGACACAGTCGACCCAGAGATCCTCCACAACCATGAACGTCCTGGTCAGTTACACATTACATTATATTGCTTTATATATGTATCCTAGATTGTAATAACTTTACAAGTTAAAATGCTGAGATAACACTTTTCCCACTGACTTACAACTTAATAACCATCAAATATTGTCCGAAACATCGCACAGTTTCCTTCTCTGTATTGGGAGTTTGTGATTCTTTCACAGTCATTTATATATAATTTTCAAGTCTAAAAAGTTAACGTAATCACTAATATAATTGTGAATTAGTTTTTTAATAATATAAATTAACAATTCTTAGTACACATTACTGATTTATTACTGAATTTCTCATTTATGGTTTGAAGAGTTTAAAAAATTTTAAGGATTACTTTTTCATTTTTTTTAAGTAACTAAAGTAGACCGTTGTTTTATGTGAATCATATTCTTATATCAGAAATATTTAAATTCCGACTGACATTTTAATTCAGAATATTTTAATCCCAAAGAGTTTATATACAGTAAGATAATCTTGACTCATGTGTATAAGTTCTATATTATGATATTATTTTCTTATTGCTTAGAAACTTTGAATTAAAAGAGACTCATTAAAGTTGTTATTCACTTTATCACAAATATCAAAGATATTTTTATTTCTAAGTTAAGGCTTAAAGTTAATTCTTCTTCAACTAGAGAAAGATATTTTGTTTTATGGATTATTATTATTATTATAATCAAGGGGGAAGCGCTAAACCCGGAGGATTATACAGCGCCTGGGGGGGGGGGATGTGGAAGGCATTCAGGCTTAATTCGGGGAACTGGAGCACAGATCCAATTCCCTAAATCAATAGCCCCTCACCAACATCAAGGAACCTTCCTTGAGGGGTTTGTTTTATGGAACATCTTCACTACCTACCCGGAGTTACATCCCAAAAGTATTATTAAACTTAAATTCAGCAACTTCAATAAAATACAAAAAAAAATCATTAATATACATTTTCAGTTGATGAAAATGGTCTTGCTTTCAAAAAAGTATGTTTTATAATTTTTTTTCTGCAAAAATTTGCTTAAATTACCAAAAATAATATCACTGACAAAGTAAAATTAATTTATATTTTCATACGATTTTTTTTGGTTTTATTGACTCTAGCTGCAACGAGAATGCCATTGGCACCGACTAATATCTACCACACGATGCATTAAAGTTTTCCTAACTGGTAGGCCTAATGATCTTTGCGCTGTTGAAAAGCTTGAATGAAAATAACCAACCATCTGTCTTATCTAATAACTATACGCAGAAGATATATCTCCATGGAAGTATATATAAATTCTATGTAAATATTACAGTGACCCTGGCGTACTCGAGAAGATTTAAACCCAATTAACCAACCAACCATATTCATTTTTCATTATTTTGTACTCACCCAGATAAATTATTAATTCCTCTTTGGGATTATATACATGAAAAAAATGTATTGAAGGCAGCATATTCTTATAATTCTTTTTAATCAATTTTAAAATCGATCATTATTAGCTGTAGTTGCATGATTTTTTAGTCAAGTAAATTTTACAATATTAAACAGTGTGCAATGGAGTCAGAAAATATTTTTAACCATTGAAAATCAATGTATATTCTTTTCAATATATTTGGCTTAAAATACAAAAAACATATACAGTGGTCCCTCGATTATCGACGGTAATCCGTTCCTGGAAGCCGGTCGATTATCGAAATGGTCGATTTACGAATCAATTTTCCCAATAAGAAATAATGTAAATTCAATTAATCCGTTCCTGACACCCAGAAGTATTAAAACAAAAAAAATTTTTACATGAAATATTCATGTAGTACATAAACAATACAATGGGAAATGATGAATGAAACATTAACAGCATAACACTTACTTTTATTGGAGATTCTTCATTGTGTATGGGAGACTGGAGGAGGAGGAGAGAGTGGATTGTTTATAGTTTGGAAGGGGAATCCCCTTCCAGCAACACCTCAGGTACCATTTGCTTTTCTGGGGTTGCTTCTTTTCTCTGTTTCTTAATGCCACTAGGACCAGCTTGAGAGTCACTGGAGTCCTGTCTCGCAAAATAACTGTGCAGAGAGCTCTGTTTCTGGCGTCTCTTTAAAACTTCCCTAAAATGGGCCAAGACTCTGTCACTGTACAAGTTGCCGATATGGCTTGCAACATCCTTCTCTGGGTGATGTTTCTCCATAAATCTTTCCATCTTACCCCACATAGTAAAAATCTCTTAAATTTCTGAAGAAGGCACCTTCTTCCATCTCTCTTCCTCCTCCTCTGCAGCAAGATTCTGAGCTGCGATCTGTTGCTCTTCCTGCTGAAGCTCTTGCAGCTCCTCAGTGGTTAGCTCTTCGTTGTGGTCCTCCACCAACTCTTCCACATCCTCCAAACTCACATCCAACCCCATGGAACTCCCCAGTGCCACAATAGAGTTCAAAACTGACATAGGCTCATCAGGGTCAGCCCCAAACCCTTCCAAATCCCTCTTGTCGACACAATCTGGCCACAATTTTCTCCAAGCAGAGTTCAAAGTCCTGGTAGACACTCCCTCCCAAGCCTTACCTATAAGGCTTACACAATGGAAAATACTGAAATGTTCTTTCCAAAAATCTCGTAGGGTCAAGTGAGTGTCTGAGGTCACATTGAAGCACCTTTCAAACATTGCTTTGGTGTACAGTTTTTTAAAGTTTGCAATGACCTGCTGGCCCATGGGTTGGAGGAGAGGAGTGGTATTCGGGGGCAAGAACTTTACTGAGATGAACCCAAACTCCTTCAGAATTAGGTCATCCAAGTTTGGTGGATGAGCAGGTGCATTGTCCATTACTAGCAGGCACTTGAGATCCAATTTCTTCTCCAGGAGGTAATTCTTCACACTAGGGCCAAACACTTCGTTGAACCACTCTACAAAAATTTCCCTCGTGACCCATGCCTTATTATTAGATTTCCAAAACACACACAATTTACTCTTCATAACATTATTTTTCTTAAATGCTCTGGGATTTTCAGAATGGTGCACTAGTAACGGCTTCACTTTGAAATCCCCACTAGCATTAGCACAGAACATTAGCGTCAGCCTGTCTTTCATAGGCTTGTGTCCTGGCATTGACTTTTCCTCTTGTGTAATGAAGGTCCTCTTTGGCATTTTCTTCCAGAAGAGGCCTGTTTCGTCACAATTGAACACTTGTTCAGGTTTCAGTCCTTCAGCCTCTATGTACTCCTGGAATTCATGCACATATTTTTCAGCCGCCTTGTGGTCCGAACTGGCAGCCTCACCATGCCTTACCACACTGTGTATGCCAGTACGCTTCTTAAATCTCTCAAACCAGCCTTTGCTGGCCTTAAAATCACTCACTTCACCACTATTTGCAGGCAATTTATTTACCAAATCTTCATGCAACTGCCTACCCTTTTCACAAATAATCGAGGTCATAAGACTGTCTCCTGCTAATTGTTTCTCATTTATCCACACCAATAATAACTTCTCAACCTCTTCCAGTACTGGTGATCTCATTTTTGTCAGCATATTTACCCCCTTTGCAACAACAGCGTCCTTGATTTCCTTTCTCATGGCTATGATGGAAGATATGGTTGAATGATTTTTGTTATACATCCTCGTCAGTTCGCCCACACGTACGCCACTATCATATTGTTCAATGATGTTTTACTTAAATTCAATGGTATTTCTCACCTTCTTTACCAAAGGTTTGGCACTAGGAGCTTTCTTTGGAGCCATGGTAGCTTATTTAGCACTTAAATAACTTGCAAGCACTAAAATAAATGAAATATTATGAAATATTTCACTGGAGCACGTGAGAGGACCGCCGCTAACTGGTAAACAATGGCACACTGGCTGGGAAGGAAGGCTGAGGCGGGTCGAGGCCCGCTTACCTCGTGCATACGCGTCTGGGACGACGGGTCGAGACGGGTCGATAAACGAATTTCTGTCAATTTCCGAGTCAATATTTTGTCGAAAAAACCGGTTGATTTCCGAAATGGTCGACTTTCAGGCCAGTCGATTATTGAGGGACCACTGTACACTGCTTTCATAAATAATCTTTCATACAAAATACCAATTAGAATGAGCTTTTGTAATTTATTACTACACTGTGGAAAATTTAGCAGGAATCATAAGCATCATGAATTTATAAGTAACTTTACCCATACAACATGTATAGTTATAATAATTCTCTGTACAATGATAATTCAGTTATAATGTAAACTGTGTTCATCCTTCAGGTGATTGTTGGCGTCCTGGCCGCATTCTGCATTGCGGTCATAAACGCTGCTCCTGCCCCAGATGCCGAGCCTGGCCACTTTGGAGGCTTCAGTGGAGGTTTTGGAGGCTTCAGAGGAGGATATGGTGGCTTCGGGTACCGTGGGAAGAGGAGTGCTGAAGCTGACCCAGAGGCCGACGCTGATCCTGAAGCTGATCCCGGTCGCTTTGGTCATGGTGGATTTGGAAGTTTCGGAGAAGGCTTCGGAGGCTTCGGTGGAGGATATGGTGGATACCGTGGAAAGAGGAGCGCTGATGCTGAGCCTGAAGCAGATCCCGGTCGCTTTGGCCATGGAGGATTTGGAAGTTTTGGAGGAGGCTTTGGAGGCTTTGGTGGAGGATATGATGGATACCGAGGAAAGAGGAGCGCTGATGCTGAGCCTGAAGCAGATCCCGGTCGCTTTGGTCATGGAGGATTTGGAAGTTTCGGAGGAGGCTTCGGAGGCTTCGGTGGAGGATATGGTGGATACCGAGGAAAGAGGAACGCTGAAGCTGATGCTGAGCCTGAAGCTGATCCCGGTCACTTTGGTCATGGAAGCTTTGGTGGTTTTGGAGGAAATTTTGGAGGCTTTTGGGGAGGATATGGCGGATACCGAGGAAAGAGGAACGCTGAAGCTGATCCCGGTCACTTTGGTCATGGTAGCTTTGGTGGTTTTGGAGGAGGTAGTTTTGGAGGCTTCCGACGCCCATACCACGGTTAAAAGTCTGCTCCCTCACTCGCCGTCTTCCCTGACTATGACTATTGCTGTTTATATGTAATTTTATAATTTTAATAAATATATAGCAAATATGAAGTCTTATGTTTCGCTCTAATTTAACAATGGAAAGTTGATAAGGAAAAACCTGAACAGTCCCTTCATAGAGTGATAATGAATTTGATGGTGAAACAGGTGCTTTGAAAACCAGGAAAAAACCTGAGTCAGTCATCAACCTCTCATGTCACCTGTGTACAGTGGATGATGTCAATTAAACTAGACTCCAGGAGCTAGAAAAACAGCTTAAAGTAAAAAAGTTAGGCAAACTTGGCCAACAGTAACTGAGGCAACAATGGAACTTCCTAGCCAAAGAAAATCGTTTTGGCATCTCGTTTATTATCGAGAAAATGTTAAAGAGCGATAAAGTAGATCTAAACCAGTTCCCTAACTTTTTCAGGCTGCCGTCCCTTTGCCTCCTAGGCCACATGCTCAGCGTCCCCTACACACATTCTTTCTTGGCATTAAGTTTAATGCAAATTCAAAACGGCAGCTAGTCTAACACTATAAACAAGCGCATTTTTTTCACAATTAAAAATTTACATAGTAAACCAATTTATTTAATGTGAAAGGGTAAATTTACATTTAATCTGTAAATACATTGCGTTTGCAATTTTAATGAGATGGATTTGCTTGGTGCAGTAACATTAGCTTCCCAACATTAGACTTGAACAAACTAATAAGAAGAAGCTTTAGATCCTCTCGTTCAATAATTTTCAGTCTGTTTCTTTGCTTGGAAACAAGCTTGGCGACTGCAGTGTTGCTTCGCTCTATTAAATATTTTGAGAAGGCAATAAAGTACATCTTGACTTTGTTCCAAAGTGCAGGGTAGCAGTCAGGAATGATTTTTTGAACTTGGGCCTAGGCTTAGTGTCAGTTTGGAGTGAAATCAGTTCTTCCTCCACCATTCCTGTTTCCTCATTGCTGATATCTAGGAATGGATTGATCACCCAGTCTGGTATTTTAAGCTAAAAAAGGAACCCGAAATCTGTCAAACATGTCTTTAAGCAGCTTATTCAGGTGTTTACAATACACTTGGAGGTCATCGTTTGGCACATATGCTCTTCTCCAATTAAGAGAGGCTCGGAAAATGGAAGAGCTCACGACGAGCTATGTTACGTTTGAATAACTATAACCTAGACAGAAAAGTGGAAAGTATGTATTTGGCTTTAATTAAATTAACCTCATTTCCTTGTAACTTCAAATTAACTTCGTTGAACTTTGTGGATACTACTGACAAATAATATCTTCTATATTTTTTTCATCTCACAGAACAGAATTGGAGTCTTGGAAAAATTCATTCAACGACTGTTTTAAAATATGAATAGGAACGTCTCAGGAAGTTTCCCTTGGACAACCATCTAACTTCTGTGTACAACAACAAACGTATACACAACAGATCTGCCGAAACGGTCGGGAATTGATTGCGTGTGCCTTGATTTTATTTACTGTGGGGACAACAATTCTTATTGATTTATGAATTCAACCAAACAGGGTTTTTTGCAACCAGATTTTGCTTGTGGATTACACAGTGCACCGTGAAACACACCAGTACAGTTGTTTTCAACAAACTGATGAAGCCACGATGACAACCTGTCATGGATGGTACCCCATCTGCTGCACAAGCAAGAATGTTAGTAAGCGGGATGTCTTTCTCTTTGAAAACAAATCTCAACACGAAATACTGACTCCCATTTTGTATGTTTCTAGTTGTCTTGTAAATAACAGCTCTTGAACAAAACTTTCATCTCTGACAAAACGAACATAGGAAGCAAAGCTTCATTGCCTTGCAGAGTGGACTTATCTAATTGTAAGCCAAATTCTGTTGACTTAAGCATATTGCACAATGTGTTATCAATGTTTTCATCCATTTCATCCACTCTTCTTTGAACAGCTGTCACTGAGAGGAGTAACTTTAATAATTTGTTAAGATGAAGTGTGTAAAGCTGTGCGCAGAACCTCACTGCTGGCAGAATAAACTCTTTCCCAATTGTATGAGGCATACCAGGTCTAGAAGTCAGCAATGAGATATTGTATGACGCACACAAACCATCAATGGATTGTTGTGAAGCGCTAGCAAACATTTTCAATGGTTTTCCGTGTCTGTAAGTTTTCTCGAAGTTTTTTTTTATTATATTTAAAACATTACAATACATCAAAATAAATAAATAAAATTCCACATAAACTGACCTACAACAGGTATGATAACCATCTGTTGCCTAAAAACACACCACACGCACAACTGCATGTAGGAACTACACCCATCCCCCTTTTACTCCACCCATACACCTGCTCTAACCCTGACATGTTTTACAAAGGAGCATGAAAAACAACCGTCATATATGATTACATATTAACAGTCCAGTTAGCATGCCATCCACGGTCGGGCAATATACGGTAACAGACCGCTTTCACAAGCCTCAACCACCATTCTTGGTTTAGGTATGTATCATGAAAATCAATACAATACAAAAAGCATGAAAATATATGAATCACACATAACTGATTCTCAGCAGGTATGAAAACCTTTTGTAATTTAAACTCACACCTGCACAAACGGACGGGAAAACTCTCCCCCCCCCCCCTCCGGTTGTTTCCCACCCATCCACCTACTCACATCTTAACATGATTAACAATGAAAGATGAAAGCAGCATATCAGAAAAATGATACAGACATGTAAATACAGCAGACCATGTAACAACATCCACTAATGGGAAATATTCGGTCCTCAGGCCACTCGGGCAGACGCTACCACCGACACACAATCACAATACATGCCACTTACGCACTCATTGCAATCCCGGACAGCCCCCCTTCCCCAAGACTGCAGCAGACAAACACTTCTTACACTCTACCCCACCGTTTCACAATGCCAGTAAGTCCCCTACAGTGAGGGCTCTATAACCCTCCGAAAATGCCGCCCCCTAGTATTTCCCGTAAATGTCCCTATTGCAACACAACATTTAGAACGTCGCTGCTAAAACACGCCGCCTCACCTCCCAACCCCCCCCCCACCGCATTCCCCACAAAATATATACAAAATCCACTATTACATAAGCAAGTCAAGACTAAGCACTCACAGCACCGACACCCTCCCTCCCCCACCCTCGCCACCACCCTACTCATCCATTCCATAAGGCCCCCCAAACCCTCGCAAAAATATACCACATGGTATGCTGGCTCCCTCCCCACATAACCAACACCTCCTCCCTCCACAACCCATCTATCCCTAAGTACTGCTCCCATCGGCAAAATACCATGCAGGAAATGATACATGACCTTGCGAGCCCTGGGATGTAACCGCAATTTGCTGAAAAGGCACCATATGTCCCCCCATGCATACATAGGGAAAATCCCCTCCACCGGCACCACTACCATACTTAGAATCATTCTACACAAAACCCCTGCTCTGAATTTCCCAGGCTCCTGAGCCAATGCCAATGCACATAACATTGTCTCACACTCCCGCAACTTTGTTCCCCCGTACAAGCCCTGCTACTGGTCGTGCACCCTGCCCATCTGCCCCACTTGAAAACCTCCTACACGCAACACTTCCCACTGAATAAACACACATTTAATGCACTGACGCAGGTCCAGTAAACCCAACCCGCCTTGGCACACCAGCATCACTACCCCTCTCTATGCAACCAATCACACCCCGAACCTCACAAGAATCTGAACACCCACCTGAGAACACGCGTAATTGCTGTCCTTGTCAATGGAAACACTGCCGCTACATACCAGACCTTGTTAAATAGTAGGAAACTGACCATGATAGCTCGTTGTATAAGGGTCAGATGGTAAGGACACAACACCCCCAATCGTTGCTCCACCCGTTCCACTATCTGTACCGAGTTGGCCTCCCTTGCTGCCTCCAGGTCATCCCCATAGACGCCGCCACACCACGGCACATCCCCACACCACTCTTCCCATCCATTCCCTATCCCATGATCATTGATTTCTCTAAGTTTCCTTCCATGCCCGTAGCACCCCCCAACATGCATACAACCTCCTCTAACTCCCCCAACCATGACTGCCGTCCCCCCCCCGCATATACGATCCCCAACCAACCTGTAAAAGGGGTCCTGTACACATGCAAACAAGAGTTACGACATCGGACACCCCTGCCGAAGACCCCGTTCTATGATGACCGCTGCATCCACACACCCATTAATCTGCACCTACACCCACAACCTCATGTACAACATTTCAACAAACCCCCACGATTTCCTCCCCAACACCCTGTCAGAGGAGAATGCTCCTCAAATCCCCCCTTTCCACTCTATCATATGCCCCCTTCCAATCCAACACTAACAACCCCACCTCTTCCCCCTTTCCAGTTTTTCTATGAACCCCTTAAGGATCCTGTGCCCCATTACCATCGACCTGACTGGCAACCCAAATTGACTCTCCAACACCACCCTCCCCATGACATATTTGAGGCAGTTTCCCAAGACCTTCGCAAACAGCTTGTAATCAGGCACAACAACGAAATGGCTTGGTAATCCCAAATGGTACTCTGATGCTTCCCCTTTGGCACCAGCACCACCACTGCTATGGCCTGCATCTCACCCAATGTACCCCTCTCATCAAATTCATCAACTGAAAGAGAAATCCCCACAGCAGCTCCCAATGCTGCATGTAAAATTCACATGGTAGACCATCAATACCGGGTGCCTTTCCCCTGCTCATCTCCATAAGTGCCTTCCAGATGTCCTCCTCTTCAATGGCCTCTCCTAGTGCCTCTCTATCACTCCTCCCCAGATTGCGCGCCACGCACCCACACACTCCTTCTAAATCCGTCCTCTCCACCCCACAACTTTTCCAATACTCCTTGTACCATCTATCTACATATGCACTCAGACTTTCTGTTGTCCCCAAAACTTGACCCACTTGATATGCCCCCACCAAAGAGTGGACTTCCAAGTATGGAACAGTAGTGGCCTGCTGCTTCAGCTGCTGGCTGTGATGCATGCATGCAGAAGACTGATTCCTCAATAAAACCTCCTCCACACCTGCCTGCACCAGTACTGCTTCAAAACACTCCTCCTACAACTCACGTATCCTCCACTTCAACATGTTAATTTCCTCTACTGGATAAGTCCCCACCACCACCCCTTGCCCATAACAATCCCTTAACCTCTCCTCTAAGTAATTTGTTAGACCATACTGCAATTGATTAATGTGCTTACCTTCTTGCACATAAAACTGACGGATCCATACCTTTGCCACACCGTCTCACCAACCCACCACATCCTCCACCCCCTCCCCTCCTCCTGAAGTTGCTCCCACAAGGCTGCAAAACCCCCCAACCCCTCCTCATCCAAAAGAACCCTCGTGTTCAGTTTCCAATATCCCCAATGCCTTCTTGCCATCGTCGCCCACCCCATCTCTGCCATAACCATATGATGACCTGAATATGTCGCTTCAACAGTATGGAGAGACTCAACAAGTACCCGCTGCGATAGATACAGTCTGTCTTAAAGCGCTGCATATCCTTGCCTCACGAAAATATGCTCCACATCCCACAATCCTCCCCCAAACACATCCCATAATTGAATATCCCGAATAAGGTTCCCTAATGCAGTGGAAAAGTAACCCACTCCCCTGGGCACCACATCAGCCCGCCAGATGATACAATTCCAATCCCCACCCACAATCACCACAGATGACAGCGTGCATAGGAAATACATGAGTTCCTCACGCACAAATGCTGTCTTCACCCACACATCACTTTCAGTCACTTTCAGCCGGCACATACACACATACAAATGACACATGCTCACCCATCCCCCCACCTATCCACATGCATGATCCGCCCCTCACCCACTCCTTCACTCCTATGCAAAACACACCACCCTCCCAGATCAAGATCCCCACACCCCCTTTCAAACAATCGTACGGTAGTACAAATGCCTGATATCCATCCACTACCAACATGCGGCCAACCTTAAATTTATGTTCTTGTACAAAGACCATGTCCACTTTATATTTGTACAAAAACCTCCAAAACACACACATCACACCATCACACAGTCCATTGACATTAACAATCACACACCTGAGGCCGACTTAATGGTTCCATCCCCGCCACCCCACGACGCTCTTCCCAGTCCCACCATTACCTGAGGCACCACCTTTGCCATGCTCATCACTCACTGCCCCAACCCCTCTAACAACCTGCTTATGCTGCTTGCCATGGGTGCCATGGTGAACCCCGTCAACCCATGCCTTCTACCTGGGCCATTGCGCCAGCATCAGGACATCATTCGAATCTGATGCCACCACTCTCTTCCATGTGGCGACCTCCTCCTCCTCCATGTCAGTGTCCTGGGAGACCACACAATGGACCTCCACCTCCATCATCCGGTAGTCCACCTAATGTGCTGATGTTGCATTTATGCAGTCAGTCCCAGGCCCCACATGATCCTCCTTTCGCTCACCCACCACGTCCTCTACCTCATCACCAGCCACCTGCTCGGTGGGCCCCAACTCCTCTGCAGGCTGGTACATGGATTGCAGCACTATTGCCAGCTCCACCTTGATAATCATCACATCTGCGTGCACCTGCACCTCCCCACTCACCGTTTATGAAGTCACTGGGCCATCGGATTCTTGGAGCTCCGTGCCTTCCCCTGACTCAACGTGTGTAGCCTCCACCCTTTTCACTCCACAGACTACCATTTCCCTCCACTGTGCTGTCATTCCCCACCAGTCACCTCATACTCGGCCATGTGGCCATAGGCCCCACACAGGCAACAAGTATGCTGGTGCCCAGCATACAAGACCATGACCTGTGTTTTGAACTCCTCAGGGCACACATACGAGGATTATGGGGTGATACAAAGTCATTTTGAGGGTAAAAGCTCCCTCTGGGAGACCAGCAAAGGCACCAGCCACTCATTTTCCTTGTTGGGCCATATGGACAGCCCCATGCTTGTCAAAGAAGCTGTGGATGTCAGCTTCGTCCGCCCACGTTGTGCAGTTTTGTAACCCACGTATAATGACGCGATATGTCAATCATCCTCACCCTCACTGCTGGTGTGACATCAACACTGACATCTTGAAAACATAAGAACATAAGAACATAAGAAAGGAGGAACACTGCAGGAGGCCTGCTGGCCCATACTAGGCAGGTCCTTTACAATTCATCCCACTAACAAAACATTTACCCAACCCAATTTTCAATGCTACCCAAGAAATAAGCTCTGATGTGAAATGTCCCACTCAAATCAAACCTTCCACTCATGTATTATCCAACCCTAGATTTGAAAACTTCCAATTTCCTAGCCTCAAGCAACCCAACTAGTAGACGGTTTCCACTCATCAACTTCCCTATTTCCAAACCAATACTTTTCCTATGTCCTTTCGTAAATTCTATACTTATCTAAGTGAAATCATTACTGCGGGTTCTTCTTGGAGAGACAGCCTCAAGACCTTCATTATATTCCCCTTTAGGAGACCTATCTTTCCATTATACACTTTCGTTCAGTGTCTCCCCCCCCCCCTCATTCTTCGTCTAACAAGTGATAAATGTAAACTGAAGGAGAGTCTTCATTCTTTCTTCTAAGGAAGATTTTTGATGCATGTATTAATTTTGTCATCCTACGCTGAATGTTTACTAACGAAGTTATGCCGTTTTGTAATGACGTGAGACCAGAACTGAGCTGCATAATCAAGGTGATGGCCTTACTAATGATGTTTAAAAGCAGTCAGTATGACCTCTGGACTTCTGTTGCTTACATTCTTGATATAAATCCCAGTAATTATTTGCACTTATTACGTAGCTTAGGCATTGCGGTCTTGGTTTAAGGTTGCTGCTCACCATAAACCCCCAAGTCCTTTTCGCAATCTGGTTGGCTAAGTTCTACATCATTTAATTTATATAGCACTAGGGTTATGGGCCACTCCCAAGCTTCAGAACCTTGCACTTATCTACATTGATACTGCATCTGCCCACTTTTCTGACCAGAATAGAGTTTGTTTAAATACCTCCGGAAGTTCCCTAACATCTAGTTTTGAATCAATTTTCCTACCTATTCTTTGTGTCATCGGCAATTGGCTCTGATCACTAGTAATTCCCTCTCAAGAGTCAGTGAGATATATTATAAACAAACATACGGGCCCAAGACTGATCCCTGTGGAACGCCCACTTGTTACAGATCCCCACTCGGATTTAACCCATTTATGGACACTCTTGCTCCTGTCAGATGAGCCATGACTCGATCCGAGGCGACTTTTCCCCCAATGCCATGAGCTGCACTTTTCTGTTAACGTCTAATGGTTGCAGAACGCTATCAAAAGCCTCTTCTAAAATCTAAGTAAATAATATCAAATTCTTTATTGTGGTCAACAGCCTCAAAAGCTTTACTGAAGAATGTTAATAAATTAGTTAGACAAGACCGGCCTCTTGTGAATCCATGGCTGAGTATCATTAATCAAGCTATGCTTATCGAGATGGCTTCTTATTAATCTCAGTATAATTGACTCTCAGTAATTTGCCTACAATTGAGGTCAGGCTTATTGGGCGGTAATTTGTCGGTAACGACTTGTCCCCTGTTTTAAAAATAGGAGTTACCGTAGCCATCTTCCAATATCTGGACACTACCCCTGTTGAAGAGTTAAATTAAAAATATTAGTTAATGGTTCACAGAGTTCCTTTTTGCATTCCCTTAAGAACCTTGAAAAACTCATCAGGACCCGGCGACTTATTTTGCTTCAGTCTGTCTATCTGCCTCTCAACCATCTCACTAGTGACTGTGATGTTACATAATTTATCTTCTTCTAGCCACTGTAAAAATAATTATGGGATATTGTAGTGTCTTGCTGTGTAAAAAAACTGAGAGAAAATAATTATTTAAAATATCAAGCACTTTCAGTCTCATTGTCAGTAAGGTGCATAGTTATTTTTAAGGGGACCTATCTTATCTCACTTTTGTTCTATAGACCTGGGAAAAAAACTTTTTGGGTTAGTTTTTGAATCCCTAGCAACTTTAATTTCAGAGTCCCTTTTAGCTTTTCTTATCCCCTGGTAATGTCCCTCTTAATGTCAATATACTGTTTCTTTAGATGACCCTTTCACCTCTTTGATAGCCTTAAATTCCTTTCTTATGCCCTAGTAGATTATTTGAGCTATTATTCATCATTTTGGGACATTTCTATTTGATCTTATTTCTTTTATATGGGAATAATACGCGTTTGCGCAAGATAATGTAGAGTGTTCAGAAAACTGTCATATGATAGCACACTTCGTTCCCCCGTCAACAGATGATAAGTGTTCTCTAAGCCCATTCGTCATAATCTGCTAAGCGAAAAATTGGGGATGTTACTGTAGTTTGCGCTACGATCTACTTCCAAATTCAATTGCTAAATGTAATTGATTTGTGGGCGCTAGCACCAGTTCCTCTGAAAATTTCTAAATTATTAACAAGGGATTCATTGTTTGCCATATATTAGTCAAGCAGGTTTATTTCCCCTTGAGGTTCTGTCACAAACTGACTTCAAAAAAACAATCCTGAAATACTTCTAAGAAGTTCGTATACGATTTCCTAAATTCCCAGTCAAGAAAATTCAATACATGACTAAGTTTTAAGTCTCCTAGAATTACTACTTTTCGTGCTCTGTGGCCGTAACAATTTCCTCCCATAGTTGTTTCACCTACGGTCCCTATGCCTAAGTTAGGGGGACGGTATTATCACTCCTAAATCAGTTTTTCATGCCCTCTGAAAAAATTCTATCCCAAATAACCAGTCGCTGTATGTGTTTACTTCAGAATTTATACCCGTTTTTATGCTAACAGTTCAAAGCCGATCTCGGAATACAATGCCACACCACACCCCCTTCCAATACTTCTATCTTCTTGGAACAATTAAAACCCGTATATGACAATTCCGCAGGCTTGTCCCGAACTTTTTGAATTAAAACACGTCTAGTTAAGGCAAATACATCATTGTTACCTACACTAGCAAACTAAATCTCAACTCGTCCATCTTATTCTAGCACTACGGCATTAGCATAATAAAACATGAAAGACTTTCCTTTCTCCTGTACCCTTCCTGCTCATTTCTATTTTTATACTAACCTCCATTACGTCCTTACCACCCTAGGTCCCTGGGCTTTTTCTATATCTATCTCGTTCTTATTATTACTAGTTCCCTAGAACTCGTAATATTACTACATGGGACTTCACAGTTTTCCTGCCAAAACCCTCTACCTACTAACTGATTCCTAGGTTTAAAGTCCTAACTGCTCCTCACTGCAGTTGCAGTGGCTCCCCCCCACACCTGATAAGTGAACCCTCCCTAGCATTATGTCATTTCTGCCATAGAAGAGGTCCCAGTTTGTCAAATGAATGTTACCGCTATTTTCCTTACTGTATTTGGCCAGCCAGCTCGTGAACCTGTTGGCCCTGGACATCATTCACTTCCAACTCCCCTCTTGGCAAAAATACCACATTGAGAGGGTTCCCACCCTTTTCTAATTATTTCTATTGCGGACTATACTGCTAATCAGGTCCTCACTCCTACGTCTGCCAACATCGTTGCCTCCAGCACTGAGACAGATAATAGGATTGCTCACTTGCCGCTCTTGATGTCATCCAGGTCGGATAACCAATTATCCTCATCCCAGCCCCAGGAAAGCATACTCTCTGTCTCCTCTCCTGTCCTTCAAGCAGAAATCGCCCTATCCCATATACATACTTGGCTGTCCCAACACAACAATATTCTTACCTTCCTTAATGGCTTTCGTCGTGTCGTTTCCCAGTAAGTCAACTCACATTCTCGGGTAGCATGAGTTTTATTGGATGTTTCCACAACATGTTTCACACGGCAGTTCTTTCTTCTTCATCGTTTCTACCTTCATTCAGTCTTCTTGATCGTCAACTTCTTCCGGCTGTCCAGCCACTGACCAGTTTCCCTTCTTGACCTGAGGACTCAAAACGGAGGACTACTACTAATCTTCTTGTTCTCCTCGGTCAATCCGCCGAATTTTCCAAAATTTGCCAACCTCAATTCTTCCTTAAGCTGTGGTAAAAGTTGCGCGATGAGGGCCATCTTGCTTCTGTTATAGAGAGCGCGCAAAACAGGTCTTCACAAGAGCCAAGTACACGTCAACACTGCGCAAATGCCAACTCAATCAGGAGCTACTGCGCAGCACGTCCGCACGGCCCAATAGCGATGCGAACACTAATGACTCATACACAGTAGCAGAGAGCAATTTCACAAACATCCTGTAAGCTCCATTTAAGGTCACTCCATACAATTTCTCGTCCACTGCACCTATGCATCAGATGTCATATGATAGCAGGAGACCCATCACCGATGCCGAAGGTAGGCGTTACACCCAATTGGAGGGAGCTCTATTCCAACCGTGTTAACATGTCACCTCACACTGAGCACCATGTTGTTATGAGGTAGCTCACTTGGATGAACAGTAGAAGGGTGCTAGGCACAACCACTCTCCCACCAGTTAAGCAGCAAATGTTTCCTCGAAGTGACTGAAAATTGTTGGTTTTCGTCTGCTTTATCAAGTTATTTTCTTAAATGTTTAAGAGCCTGGACGTTTTCATGGCTGCATCTGAAAAGAATTGTCACATAATTCGGACACTGGTTGCTGTTGAATATTGGTGCTGTTGCAAATTCTTAAATTAGATATCCATACAATACTGCCTACACTGCTTTTTTGTCTGTTGGGCATGAACAAAAAAATATGTTCCTTGTAAAAATCATGCCAATTTTGCAAAAAAATGCAGCAGAAAAATAAACATAAAAATGTATAGCATATGCATTTACTAGGAAAAGTACATGACACATTAATTCAGTGTGGAATGGTAGATTAAAAATCAAATATTTAAGAACTTAATTCACAGCATTAGACAGCAAACACATTCCATTCCCTTTGCCGTCCCTCCATCAATACACTCAATAAATATCTTTATCTATACTTGAAGATATTTTCAGTGCGTACAACCTGGAA